TATATATATATATATATATATATATAGTTCTATTATTAACTTGACACATCTAAATCATTATATGATTTCTTTCCTCAAAAGGTTTGGTTTGCTTCTTATGCTAGACTCTTACAAATCTTATTATATCACCTCTAATCTTCTGTTTTTATATTTAATTTGATTAAACCTATTATTAGCGTTTAGTAAGTAAATCAAATAATAATATCATAAAAACTTAAATACCCACAAGATTCAGTTTTTATCGTTATCATACAAGGCTTAAATTGCACACAAGCTATCTCCATTCTCTTTAGCATCAAATCATCCACTTGCAATAACTTATTTAAATTCATAAAACCATAAATGTTAATATTATAATCTATTTAATTAACTAACTTTATATATTTTAAAACTTAAACTAATTCGAATAAATTTTATTTAACCTAAATTAAAACTCACATTTTTTACCTACACATGATCGGTCGGCTGCCCTATCTGTCGAAAAATTTTTGTATCCGGACTCCGGACGTAGCTCTACGTGCAGACTTCAGTAATACACCGCCATGTGTGCTTTATCGGGCTCACCTAAAAAAATATTAAAGTGGAACCGCAGAGGTTATTGAAGTAGAACTACAGAGGTTATTTATGCTTTAACTCCAATAATGCCTCAATAATTTAATAACCCTCCTATAACCTCCGCGATTTCATTCCAATAACCCCCTACAAAAACCCCTGCAATGATCCCCAATAATCTCCGTGTTTCCACTTCAATTGCCCCTGCTTTAAACCCTGCAGTAACCCCCCTAATAACATCCGCGGTTTCATTTCAATAACCCCACAATATGCTCTGCGATGTATCACACGTGGCTGCATTTTACTGGAAGTCAGCACGCAGAGCTGCATCCGGACTTCGGATGTAAAATTTTCTCCCATCCACCACGCTCAAAGCTCTTGCTTGAGCCTTTTCCACATCTGCTTTCCGTCAGTGCTCTACCTAGAATAACACCGTGTTTCTCTTCTTCCCTCAATCTCCTTCCTCTTCTCTTTCACGCGGCTTGACAACTCTAACTTCACGCACGATACCGCTAGAGCTTCACTCCCCTTTTTTGTCCTTTGGTTGCGGCGCAACCCACGAAGCGTGCACGATGCCGTCCCTCTCTTCTTCTTCCTAGCTTCGGCCGCGTGGCTCTACCCAAATCACTACACGCTTCTCCTTTCTCCTCGTCCTCTACACACAGAGTTCGGCCTTTGGTGCTGCTTCTTCCCTTCTTCTTCGACCTCCTTCACTCACATATAAGTCGATCGACACCTCATATGTTTTTCTTCTTCCGCTTTTACTTCCGTCCTCGACTAGGGCATGACAAATTTCTTTTGTCGATCTCTCTGCTCTTTCTCTTGCTCGTTCATCCTTTTCAAATGAGGGGAAGTGCGAAAGATTGTATGTTATAGTTGAAACTTTAAATTATTACAAATCTGATGGCCTATCTGCCATCTCAACCTCCGCTAGTTAATGCATAGTTATTCTCCCAACATCTTTTTTTACATAGTAATGCAAAATGCACTTTTTGACAACAAGGTTGCCTGCTCAGCTGATGCAAGTCAACATTTTAGCTCATGGGGGAGGCCTGCTAGCACACCAACCTTCAATAGTAGCAAGCTTATAAGGTAATGGAGGGTTTCTTTCCATTCCCAAAGAGAGAAAAAAGGAGGCTTGTTTCTGTTGTATAGAGCTCTCTGAGTTTATAACAAATGTCTTTTGTATTTGTTTTTTTTTTCAATAGTTGCAAAACATATTCTCAATTATTTGGTCTTGGTGGACTAAATATAGGTTTGTATAGCTCAGTTCTACTTGCATTTGATGGAGTGCCAAGTAAGGCAATATTTTCACTAACTGGTGTTGTCATAGCACCATGTCTCCTCTTTCTTTAATTTTAATGGTAAAGAACAAGTCATTAGGTTAGACATGGTCTTTTTTTAAAGATTTACATGCTTACTTGGTCATATTTATCATATAGTCCAACTAAGAATTTATAAACTCTCTTCCTTTTCAATAGTTTTTTAGCATTACATCTTTTTCACTGTATTTAATTTTAATTTACTAGTAGTAATTGTGTTTAAGTTTAGGTTTTTCATTTGCTATAGTATTTGTGATCACAAGTGTATCTTGGTGGTGTGAATTTTTCTTTAATCTTATAGGGTAAGGCACCCTCACGCATCTGAAAATATATTTTTTTTAATTGCAGCTTGGGCTGTAAATGAACCTATGCATTGTTGAACAACTCAAACACAACTCGATTGATACTCGATCATGGTTGTTCAAATTAGTAAATAAGAAGTATGAATATTTTTTAAAAACTCGGAGCTTAAATGAATCAAATTTGAATATAGTCTCAATCTCTTGTTAATGTTTATGGACAGACTCATTCATTGTTTAACACGTAACTTGTTAAATATTCTATATTTACATGGCATATTATTTAAATAAAATTTGATTAATTAGAACTTATTTAACAATTATTTAATAGTAACATATTATAATTTAAAATCAACATACACATAAATTCAAAGTTTTTTTTTTAAATTTTATTATTTAAATAAACTAGTTTGTTAGTGCTTATTTATGTTATTTGATTGCAGAAAATATTATAAGTTATATATTTTTTTTGTTTAATTGATCTTAGCTAGTTAGATGCTCATTTGAAATCTATTCAATTGCTTATTTATTTAGGTTCATTAGATAATTTATTAATAACCCTATAGAAAGTCAAATACTCAATTTTTTTACTTATTTATTAGTTTTATATGAAAAATATTGCCCAAATCAAATGATTAATTTTATATGAAAAAATAAATACTCATTTGATTTTTTAGCTTTTTCATTAATATAAACAAGCACAAATCAAGTATGGACATTAAAAGTTTTAAGCAAGCCAAGCAATAACATATTTTTGAAGCTCGTCTCAAGCTCTAACCGAATACGAACAACTTATGATTCAACCAAGCAAAGTCCAAATCATGGCATACTCGTCTTGACTCAGCTCGATTATAGCCCTAATTGCATCCCAAATATCCTTGGGTATTGTCAAGAACATGTTGATTCAATTGATTTCTGGTATAATTGAATATGTCAACTAGGACATAGCTAAGGAATATTCTACAGTATAGCAAAATTAAGATCATCTTCACTTGGTATGGGGCCATTAAGGTTGCTCAACTTTCGCTTTCCTTTGAGAAATCCTTTTACAATCAGGTACAAATGAGGTTATTTCTTCCAATCAATATTAATGAAGTTTGAAAGTTTTGGTACTCATCTACAACAGTTTGATTAAGATCATTGGATTGGCCAACAACTTCTGAAATATAGGATTTTTTTTTTTAAAAAGAAAATTGGATTTTTTTGGTTGAGCAAGTGTCTTGCGACGTTAGTTGGAGGTGGAGTCTCGGTGGATAGGTCGTGGAGAGGATTTTGGATTGAGGTAAAATTGTTGGGGGAAAAAAACATAAAAAACTCAGGGCCCCTTTTTCCTAGAGTAGAAGAGAAATGATTTAAATTTTGTGGATATGATTAGGGATCTTGTCTTTGTAATCAACAACAACAACAACAATAAAGCCTTATTCCCACTACGTCGGGTCGGCTACATGAGTCGTTTTTCTCCATTGCATCCTATTTAGTGTCGTATTTTCATCTAGTTCTAATAAATTAAGATCATTTTTTATACAATAAGCCCAAGTCATCCTAGGTCTACCTCTGCCTTTCTTAATATAAGTCGAATCTAAAACATCCACTCTCCTAATCGGATATTGTCTTTTTAATCATACAAACAAAAATTCTTGATTGCAATTAATACTTTCCACCTATGAAAACTGCTTTTTACGTTAGAAATATCTTAGATTTATGCTTCTTGAGGCCTACATATTGCTAATGATGAATGTAAGACGGGTGACTCACTTTGCAATCCCATGGATTGACAATCTGTCGACTATATAAACCCCAATATCTTGTTATAAGTGTATGTGCCACCACATTTTTGTATGAATGGATGATATTTGTATTTTAACCATAAAATGATAAATGACTTGAAGTGTAGGAACCGCGTTTTAAGAATATAAAAGAAAGAGGATGTAGGAGATTCAATTCAATTCATGGTAAGGTTGTAAATATCTGTGATTGCAGGAAGTTCTCGTACTACCTTGATGATAATTTAAGTCGTTTCTTGGTGAATATCCCTAGCAAGCACCTTTAACTATTCCTTGGAAACTGAATATATGCGACTGGCTTCACTTGCATTGTCCTAGAAAAAAGGGCTGTGTAACTGCTTTGCTTCACACACATTCTGCAGCCAACTAAGCCTGCAACTTATAAGCGTGCATGTTCCTCTTTAGACTCTTTTTTCCCTTCTACCAAACTGCTTCAGTAAATTTTGATGGAAAAATAAAGTTTCTATGGGCTTGAGAACACTTTTATAAATATTTAATGTGAAGTTTAGTTCCTATTTAAGGAACAATGCATTCGGGAATCATATGAACGCTCATGTTTATGCAATTTCAATTGTTGATATGCATTAATCTAATAGACGTAAGTTATGCTTCTAAAGCCTTTAGGGTTGTATTCATTCACTTGGATATCCTTAGTGCATGTTTGCACATTACTGATTTTGCTGTGGTTCTTTTATAGCTACCCATCGACTTCGAATTTGAATGCACATTTTTGCCTCATCCCTTATTCATAGCTCTTCGTTTATTTTTTTTATTTTTCTTTCATTAATGCTACATTTTGCGATTGACTTCAAGGTGTTCTTTTCTCTTTGATTCTCTTATACCAATTATGATCCATAACATGTCTTGTAGTAAACTCATGAAATTGGTACAGGATATTCAGTTAAAATTTCCTGTTTGCTACATCAACTGATTTGTTTGCATTATAGTTTTTTTTTTTCTTTGACCACGATCATTTGCCATTCTTCTTGTGTGTTGCTTAGTTTATGATAAAGAGGTTTTTTATTGCATTTTTTCTTGTGTAGGACAAGATGATATTTGATGAAGCTCAACCTACTAACTTGGCCAACTTCAATTATTTTGCGCTCTTTTGGAATGTATAATCAAGGATTCATTTTTCCGAGTTGATATCATAGTTGAGTACTTGGATTTCAATTGATCTCCCTTGAGTCCATACTTTCACCTGTAGTACCTCAACATGCACCAATGGATCAGTATCAGGCATGAAATAAAAAACAGAGAAACATATTTTGTAAGGTTTTGGTACTAAGTATGTCGAGAAATATTTAATGTGTATTTCATACTTAAATTTTGTTTTTTTTGAATGGTTTGACGTCTTTTTGTATTTTATTTTTATTTAGAAGAAGTAACCTATATTACTCGACCAAAAAAAAATAAGTGATGTGCTCATGTTTTTTCTTAAAAGTACAATGTACATGCATCTTGTGCTTTAAGTCCCTCTAGAATGTTCAAGTTCACAATTTTGTCACTTTCTTTTCCTTCAGCCCTCTTTGCTTATCATATTCATTTTAGGTTGCCATTGTAATTTTTTTATAACTCGTTGTGGAGAAATGGACATACGTGAGTGGGATTAAAACTTTGTTGTTGTTGTTGTTGTTGTTGTTGTTGTTGTGGAGAAATGGACATACGTGAGTTTAATGCATATGGCATGCTGAAGTTTCTAATCTTAGTGGCGGTGGGAACTAAGAAGGTGATGGGAGATGTGCAGAAACCAAGTATTTTTTCCTCCCCTTTGTTGGTGGGTTGATCCAATTTCATTTCCAACGTTCTACACATCCTCTTGTCAACCTGATTCTTTCTCTTTATCCTCTTGCCTCTTTTTTATTTTTCATTTTTCCAGATCACGTCTTCTAGCAAATTAAATGTTACACTTTAGACCACAGAATCACAAAAATTCTTGTACACTTTCAGGAACTGTGTTTAACTTGGCAATATCTTATTTGTCATTTAAATCCAAAAGGTTAAAACATACGCATTTATCTATAAAGTCCAAGTGCCTACAGTTTAATGCCTGGGCAGTGGACCATAACAAAGATGAGAATCCAGTGGGCATAGCGGGATCAAGCTCTACCGGGCATGCTAAATTTCTATGGCCTAGGAGAGTGCAGTAAACCCTTGCTCTAATGATTTTTTAGATGCTAAAATATTATGGTCGTGGGAAAGTTCTGTTGCTCTCATTTACCAGTAGTATATCTAGTCAACTTTATATGAAGTTTTTAAAATTAGAGAAATCTGATGTCTCTGTCTTATTATTCAAAAGCTTGATGCAGTTTATTTGCTTGGTATGACCCACAGAAAACTCATTATGCCACACTTGTGGTCCTGTTAACGAATCTAAGAGCATGTCAAATTAGGTATTTGGCTATTGTGGTCATTCATAATCTGACCAATAACTGAATAATTTTGAATAATAATGTATGAATTATTGATTTGTGTAAATTCCACACTCATATGCTTTATTCATAATCAGCTGGCAGTGATGATGTATGAAGATCCGAAGGATACAAGCGAGGTCCTGGATAAGACTGAATTATTAGAAGAGTGATTGACTGTAATAGACAAAAAGTAGGGCATTTGAACCCTTTGGATAGATGTTGAAGTGATATTTATTTATCGTCATTCATTTTGTGTTTTTTTAAGGTTACTTTAAGTTTAACATTTTAGGCTTGTAGTTAGCCTTCATTATTCAGCTGTTCGGAAAATATAAGTTATTGTGATGCTTTTCCCCGCAGAGAAACATCATTTTTATGGAACTTGTGCATTTTCTTTATGATTTATTTTTTGAATCGTTTTACTTACGAGAATGCCAATCAGTTTGATTTGTGATTACCATTAAGACCCGCCCCAGAGTAACCTTGCCTGCAATCTGAAGTTGTTTACCTTTTTTGATGGAGTTGTTTGTTAAGTTTTAAATGAGCTTGTTCAATGGTACCTGTTCAAAAACATGCTCTTGGTGCATAATTCAATAAAACAATAGTGTGTTATGTGAGAGTGTGCTTGTTGGTTTCCTTCAAGGCCTGTTGAACTTAACCTGAATCAAATGGCGATCCAATGGCCTCAAAACTTGTTTTTTGTCTTCTCGATTCTGTCCAGTTGCTAAATCTTGCAGCCTTTGGTTGGGTCATGTCTTGAAATTTCTATGGCACATTTATGCCAACTGTAGTTCTTAGTCTTTTCCCAGCAGATATAGAATTCTAACTTGCGGTTTCTTGTCCTTGATCAAAACAATGTACTATGGAGTTCCGGACTTCGCTTTATTAGGACTGTTTTAGGTTCCAAAAACCTCTAGAGCATTTGAGCTGCTTGGACACCAATAAATGAAAGCGAAGTTTCAGAGGGTGGGGTAAGAAGATTACACTAGCACAGTGTAGAATCTAGAAAATAATTTTATTCCCTTCTTTCACATCCGTTACACTACACAACATATATATAAATAATGAAAGGAAACAAAGAGGAATCCATCTAAAAAGGAAAGAACATAAAATAGAAAATAAAAATAAGGGAAATATCATTATTGGAGTATATTCTGAGAGAAGGAAAAATTTCCTTCCTAATGCAGATTTGCATTTTACTACACTCTCCTTTAAGCTGGTTTATATATATTGTACAAACTAAGCTTGGACTTCAATTCATCATGACTGACTCTTGATAATAGTTTGGTGAGAATATCAATAATTTGCAGTATTGCGGGAGCATAGCTAAGTTGAAGAATTCCATTGTTAATCATTTCTGAAATGAAGCATCAGTCAATCTCGATGTGTTTTGTTTTGTGATGACGCACATTATTTTTTGCTATGTTAATATTCCCTAGGCTATCAGTGAACATTTTAATTGCCTTTCATCTCAACTTTAGGTTCCTTTAATAGCCTTTGAATTCACATTCTCTCACGTATTTTGTAAGGTCTAGACCCTTATTAGAAGGCAACACAAGTGACACCAGGATAAACGGGGGCGCCGGGACGCTAGATCTGGACACAGGCACTTGGATCTAGTGAAGGTGGGGCCTAGGCACCCACTTTGGGTTCCCGCTCACCTAGATTAGTAAGGGCGGTGCCTATTAGATTCGTGACTTGAACCCAAGCCAGCGAGAAAGCATTGCTCAGGATGTGTAGGCGCTAGGAGCAGTTTGCATACGGTTTGGGATTTAACCCCTTCACCACGGATCGTAAATACTTTTGCTTGCATGTAGTGAACTCTCGAAGGGCTTTCTCAGGAACAGTGAAGTTCGAGAGGCTGGTTTCAGAGCATATGATTTCTCCAGTGCGATCTAAAAAGGGTTTAGAACGGAATTATTGTAAGTTACAGTGCTGTAGAGAAAAGATTTGAGCGGTGAAGATATCTGTACATTTCTCCTTTCATAGTAAAATTTTGGTGTGGCTTCTTGGTTTTTTTCCCGTTTTTTGGTTTTTTGTGTTAAATCTTTGTGTATTTTTTGTACTTATTTTTTTGTGCATTTTTGCTTCAGATTTTTCACGTTGTGGTTTTGATTGTAAATCTATCGAAACGTAAGTTTCCGTCCCATCAAGTGGTATCGAAGCTAGAATTTCTTTATCGAAACTTTTGATTCAAGTGGGAGCAATAGCCGACAAAGCAATGTGCAAAGTAGAGAAGTTCAATGGATCAAACTCTATGTTCTAGAAAATACAAGTGGAAGATTTGTTGCATGATAAATTATATTTGTCACTACAAAGAATCACCAAGAAGCTTGAAACGATGACTTTGAAAAAATGAGAAGTGCTAGATCAAACAACCCTAGATTTGATCCGCCTTTCACTTTCTTTTTTTGTTGGGTTCAACATAGCGAATGAGAAAATTGAGATGGATCTCATGGCGACATAGACAAATTTATGAAAAACCTTCAGCTTCAACTAATGTTTTTTGATGAAAAGGTTTTTCAATATGAAGATGACTAAAGACAATTCGATGGTTGAACACTTAAACAATTTCGATACTATGACTAGCTAGTTGTGTTATGTGGGAACCAAATTTGATGATGAGGCCAAGAAACTTTTAATTTTGTCTCCGTTGTGAGACAATTGTGATGGATTGGTCACAATTGTAACTCTTCAGGTCATATGATGTTGAACTTCAATGACATCATGGGGTTAGTGTTGAATAAAAAAATTGTAGAAAGATAACAAATGGTGAATCTTCAGGTTCTACGTTGAATGCCAAAACAGGCGAGTAAATTGGACAGGAATAAAAGCACATAGATAGATTCAAGTCCAGAAGAGGAAAGTCTGGGTCAGGGAAAGGAAATGACAAATGTGATTGCTGAAACTACGTGACGAAATGACATTTCAAGAAAGATTGCAAAGCTCTGGTGGCAGAGGCCAAAACAAGAATCTCTCTACAAATGTTTCAACAGGAGAAATTCAAAGTGACCCCCTGGTTTATTATTTAGTCAATACTGAATCTCAGTATTCATGTGCCTCTTTTTATGCATGCCCCAATAAAAAGTTGTTTAAAAATTATACTCATAATGATCTAAGAAAGGTTTATTTGGGAGATAACTAAGCCCGCAATATCTTTGGAAAGAGTATATTAAAATGTCAAATGGAACAATTTAAAAACTTAGTGAAGTTAGACATATTCCAAGCCTGAAGAAAAATGTGATCTCGGTGAGCCAACTGACAACCTTGGGTATGTGACTACTTTTTCAGGTGATTTGGAGAAGGTGACCAGACGGGCAATGGTGATAATTCGGGGTAATATTGAATGCACTATTTATCTGATCAATGAGATGCTAAAATTCATTGATGTGTTGGAACCAAAGTCTATGTCACCTCAAGCTTAACCATATGAGCCATAAATATATGAAGTCCATAATTTATAAGAATAAGCTTCAGGGTTTGAAGGCTATAGAGATTTCTACGGACATTGTGTATATGACAAGTAAATGAAAGTTTTTTTCTCTAAAATGGGTCATTAGTGAAGTCTAAGAAGCTGGAGTTAGTGCATACTCACGTATGGTGTCCTATTCCAGTAAGCTCATTGGAGGTTCCCACTAATGTCACTTTCATTGACGATCACACTAAAAAGATGTGTTTACTTCTTAAAGCATAAATTTAAAGTAATTGAAGTGTTTACAAAGTACAATTCCATGGTGGAAAATGAAAAAAACTTGAGGTCAAAGTGTCTCAAGTTCAAATAATGGGGGCAAGTACAATTGTTAACCTCACTTTTGTGAGGGCCTATTTTCTCTCTGTAGAAGCCTAGGATCTAGTTTTATGATTTTCTAGTGACCTTCTGAGATGACTAGAGATGGAACTCACCCATATAGGTCTTCTAACCAATTCTACATTCACTTAAGGTTTGCTGAGGTTAAGCCCAAATTCTCAGCCCTTGGTTGAGATGGTTGTGGT